TCTTCTTTGCTCGGCTTCCAGAGGTGCCTGTTGTCTACCGGGAGCGGAGCAGCAGGTGAGACTGAAATGACAGTCACCAGCCACCATTTGTCCCCGGAACAAGCAGCTCTGGGGACCCAGCGTCTTGTTGCTATGGGAGCAGATTGTCTCCAAAAGCACCGACATTCCGTGTCGAAGCCGTTTACCTTTCTTGCTGTGTTTACCTCTCCTTCTCCATTGGTTGCTGGGCTTTTTCTTGTTGATTTGTAACGGCTCTTTATATGTTAATGATAGAAGCTCTCAGTCACTTCTCACAGCTATTTTCTCCTCACTTTGTCATTAGACCTTGACTTTGTGGTTTGGGGGTTTATGTTTGGTCAGGCAGAGGATTTAGGGTTAGGTTTCTTGCCAGTCTTCTAATGACCCCTGGGGTTTCTTGTTGGTTGGTTTACTTTGGCCTCAAAGTAGCTGTCCCATGGAAATCACGTATTGGCTATTAGTGGCTGTGTGAAAGATTACCCCCAGCGTGGTGAGTAACGCAACACACAGTTGTTAGTTGTCTCACGTGGTCTTTGGGAGTGAGGATTCTGGGAGCGGCTTAGATGGGTGGTCCTGGCTCAGAGTCCCCCACAGGCTGCCTTCCTCTGAGGCCTGACTAGGTCAGGAGGATCCGATTCCAGGCTGGCTCATGAGGCTGTGGGTGTTCTACTCCTGGTCCCAAGCAGCACCACCTCCCGAGCATGCCCTTCATCTAGGCAGGGCCAGCAGACAACAGTCCCGGGCCAACCTGGTCAGGGCCTGTGGACATGAGACCGAGCTGGGGGGTTTCCTTTTCCACAGCTGCAAAACAAATCCAACAATGCCTGTGACAGAGAGCTCGCGGGGCCCCTGAGCTGTGTCCACGCCCTCTCTGGGCCTCTGTGGGAAGAACTTGCAGCCTCGCTGGCTGCTCACGGTCCTCCTGGCGTTACCTCAACGATGTTTGGGCACGCTTGCCAATGCAGACTGCACCCCCTTCAGGAAACCTGAAGGCAAGTTTCCATGAAGCATTAGGTGTCGAGATGTTGAGCTGGAAAATGCCCATAGGAGCCGGGCAAGGGGTGGGGTGGGGAGTGGGCAGTGCTTTCCAGGCCCTTGGGGGCTGCTGTGAAGCCTGTAGTGGTCCCTCAGACTCCTGATTGGCTGCCCCGTGGGCTGTGTTCTTTGTGAATCAACTGTGGCCTTTAAAGTCTGCCTACCCCAGGGCCTATCCTCACGTCCCCAGTAGGGGCTGACATCCAGCTGTGTGGCCGACACAGTGCTCTGTGGCTCTGATGATGACTACGAGGTGGCCTCTGCTCTGATCTGCCACACCTCCCCAGGACACCCTCGGGGAACAGGGCAAGGTGAGTTCCCACGGAGGCAGGATGCCCGGTGGCCCCCTCGACCAGCAGCCTGCCATCCACAGGCGTGAGCTGGGGGGTGGGGGCAGGCTGGGGCCTGGGGGTCCAGAACAGTGAGAACCCTCCAGCATTTCCTTGGTCCTTGCAGGAGGGGACCGTTCCTTCCTGGGGTGAAGGATGGAGCTGCAAGGGTGTAGGGGCCCTTAGGTCCTGGGGCTCTGGTCTTCCAAGGCCACTTTGGTCAGCCTTGGTTGGGGTCAAGACCTTCGCTGGGACCAGCTTCAGGAGAGGGCTGCAGAACTGAGCTGCAGGTGGTGGGGCTGCTCGCATTGCCCCCCACCCTGTGCTGCTGGATGGTCCCACATGGCCATCCCCAGCAGTGGTACTGGGTGCCTGTCTCCCCACACCAGTGTTTCTCCTGGAGGTGGCAAGGGCTCCCCAGCAAGTGGCCAGACTGACCCACCCTTCTGGTCACATGCTGTCACTGCCCACCCAACTTGAGTCAGTGGTGTGATGATGGCGTGGCGGGGACACCCGCTTAGGCTGCCTTGGCTGGCTGTGCCCAGGCCCTTCCTCACCACCTGCAGCTCCTGGTCTGACAGACAAGAGTGTTCTTCACGGGGCTGGGCACCACAGTGCTCAGCCCCATGGAGATGCGTCTTGGATCCATCCTGGGCTGGGACTCAGAAGGCTCCTGCTGATGCTCGTGGGGGCTCTGACTTGGCTTTTCCCGCAGCTGTCTGCTTTCCCATGGGCCATCGGCAGGCTGGCGGCCAAGGGAGCAGGTGGCCCCTGGTGGGGGCCTTGGTGACCCGTCCCAGCCACCCCACACTCCGTGAAGCCTGAGGACAGCAGGTCGCATGGGGAGGGCAAGGCAGTGCTCGCTGGGCCCGTCTCTGGGGAGCCTGGTCGGGGTGCAGCCTGAGCTCACTCGGGTTCACCTGGACTGGGTCAGGCCCGGTGCACCTCATGCTCCTGGGCCATCAGCCACTGTTCTTCCCCTCGCTGCCCACCAAGCCTGCCAGCCCGTGCTGGCCCTGTCCTGCAGCCCCAGGGAGGAGGCCCTGCAGTGCAGGGCCTGGCTTCCTCGCAGTCCACCGCCAGAGGCTGCTGGCCTGGGAGGGGCCGCAGGTGCCTGGATGGGGGCTTGGTCTCCCTCATCTCAGCCATGGGCGCTTTGTCCAGAGGGTGCCGCTCCTAGATGCCTGCTCTGAGCAGGGGCACAGTCTCAACAGCAGCCAGGCCGTGTCCCTGCTGCCCTCAACGCCTAGCTCTTCACCCAGGGGGCTGGGTGCTCTCCCACTGAGTTTTGGCCGGGAACAGGTCTGTGCCCTGGCCCGTCCCCAGCAGGTGTGCTGGCTGAAGGGCACACCAGGCCCCTGTCGGTCACCCCTTGCTCATCACTGGCCTCAGCACTGCCCCTCTTCTAGGCCCCTCTGCACGGGACGGGGGAGGGGGGACCTGCTATGGCACTTGCGGCAGGTGGCAGGTGGCAGAGATCGTGGCTCAGGAGCTCTGTAGGGAAGGGGGAGGAAACAGCCCTCAGGATGGTGGCTGGAACCTTCCAGAGACCTGGAGCCCTTGGGGGTTTTCAGGGAACCCGGGAGTCCTAGGATAGTGGCAGAGCCAGGTGGGGGGTCCCTGGGGAGAGCTAGAGCCCTCAGAAGGGGAAGTGCGCGGAACCTTGTAGAATCCCTGGAATCCTTGCGAGCGCTGGGGGGACGGTGGCACAATACTTGGGAGCCCTTGAAAGGAGGGTTAGAGGCCTTAGAAGGAATGGTTAGAGGCCTCGGAAGGGAGGGTTAGAGCCCTCGGAAGGGAGGGTTAGAGGCCTCGGAAGGGAAGGTTAGAGGCCTCAGAAGGGAGGGTTAGAGCCCCCGGAAGGGAGGGTTAGAGGCCTCAGAAGGGAGGGTTAGAGCCCTCGGAAAGGAGGGTTAGAGCCATTTGATATCCTGGGCAGGGGGGGCTGGAATGTTCTAGAGGCCCTGGAGCCCTCTGGAGCCCTGGGGGAGCCCCAGAGCCCTCAGGTGGTGGAGGAGCCTTGAGGGAAGGCAGAGCCTTAGAGAGCCCTGGTGGAGGGTTCTTGGGGGCCACAGAACCCTCAGGAGTTTTCTGGGCACTCCGAGAGCCCTCCATCCGGGACTGGCGATGGATGGACACCTGGGGCCCTCAGGGAATGAATGACTAAAGGGGGAGACTGTTTGCCCCCTCCCTGCTCTACTCTCGTGTCAGTCCGCAGAGGACCTGGGGCCTAGAGAGGGGTGTTTCCTCCAGAAGCCCAGAAATCTTTCTCCCCTCCTTGGGAAGTCCCCAAGCCCAACTCCTCTTCCTCTCTCGCTGTCCGTCCTCCACACCAACTACTCCAGAGGTTTGGGGGTGTCACCCTTGCTGAAGCACCCCAGATCCACATGAGCTCCTGCTAGGCTCAACCTCCTTCCTCTCTGCCCAGTGCTGGGCTCCAGCAGGGCCACGATTGGGAAACTGTGCTGGGCTGCTCACTTGCTCGCTTGTCTCTGCTTTCCAGAGACACTCACTTTGGGACGAGCGCGCACCTCAGCACTGCCAGGACAGAGGGAGCTGTGCTCTCGGTGCCCGGGTCAGGCCTCCCCCTGCCACATACATGGCTCTGACGGGAGGCAGGCCTGGCACGAGGTCCCTATCGTGCATACCCAGGGAGATGGCGCTCCTGGCCTGTGCCCCCTGCCTGCCACACAGTCCAGGTCTCAGCCCCGGCTGCAGGGCCACCATTCAGTTCCTTGTAATGGGGACTCGGGCATCCAACCTGCAGGGTGCTGGGTGCTGGGGGAGGAGCCAGTGGGAGCAGGTTGAGTCAAAACAGAGGTTGGAGCTGCGTGAGATGAGAAGATCACCAGCAGTTAACGTCTCTCATTCTTTTCTGTACGTTTTCAAGGCACAACCACCACAGATTACTTTTAAGAGCACCAAAGAATGTGGAGAGACTACGCAGCAGCAAAGAAGACCAACCAGGATCCAGGAAGGGGTCCCAGTCCCAGCTGTGCCATCAACTTGCCGTGTGGCTGTAAGCAGGCCGGGAGCCCTGAAGGTGCAGAGCCCGTGGGTGCACCCATGTGTGCGCTGCATGGGGGCCGTGCCGGGTTGAGGCCCAGGGCCAGCCAAGTCCCACTGCCCGCAGCAAGGAGCTGATGAGAGGCCAGGAGGGGCTGATGCCAGGCACTCACCCCCTCGGGGCCAGCCCAGGGGAGCGGACACCAACACCCGTGTGCCTTTCTGCTGTCGCAGCGGCACAGAGCCGACACACGGGGAAGCAAGCAGCCGTCTGGCCTGGGTTTCCTTAGCACCCTGTTAAAATACTGGTGAGCTTTGAAGGCTGTGAGACTCACATCCATGGAAGAAAACCTGGGACTACAAGAACCTAGAGAAGCGACAGCCTACTGACTAGGAAGGAAGAGAGGCTTCGGAGTGTGGGAGCCTTTCCCCAGGTCACTCCCAGTACTGGGAAACAATCCCCCAGTGAGACCCCCGTGTCCTGCCCTTGGCATTTAAGCTGGCTTCAGCTTTTCCCAGATAAATCGCCCACAGCCAATCCTGTGTGTCCACCTTTGCACTTCCAGAACCGTGTTCCACCCATCTTGCGCGGGAGGGCTGAATAAGCTGCTACAGAGGTGTGAGGGAATGAGCCGGGGGATGAAACACACCACAAAACACACATACCCTTGGGCAGCGCTGGAGCCCCAGACCAGATAGTGAGTGACCCTCCACATGGAGACCTGGAGGCCCTGCCAGCCCACTCCCCAAACAGGAAGAGCCAACACGTTAAAAATAAATGGTCTGTTTATTGTGTGTTCACAAAAATCAAGTCTGGGTGCCACTGGCTAATCCCTCACCCAGAGGTGATGCTGAACAAGGGACATGCACGGTACGAGAGAATTCTCTGAAGGAGCAGGGCTGCGCCCACCTGGAGCCCTAAAGGCAGAGACAAGCAGGGAGGCTCTGGGGGAAGGCCTGCTGCCTCCCTGAGAGGACGAAGCAGGGATCAAAGCACTGATCTGGGCCAGGTTCCCTGGCAGGACGAGGCAGGGGTCAAAGCACTGATCTGGGCCAGGCCTGGCCCAGCTGGAACCCATAGGTAAGCCCCACCCCCCACCCCCAGCCAAACACTAAGGTGGTGGAGCTGGGCCTTCTGAACAGGACTGGCTCAGAGGCCAGGCCCTCAGGGATCCACCCAGAAGGGGTTGCCATCGTCGGCCTGCAGCAAGTAGTAAACAAAGACCAGGAAGGCAGCAAAGATCAGGAACAGAAGCAGTTGGCCCCAGAGCGGGACCTGGCGGTCCTGACTCTGACCGGCTCCCGGGACCTGCTTTTCTGGCCGGATGGCACGGCGGGCGAGCCAGGAAGGTGAGGAATATGACGAGGAGGAGGTGGAGGAGGTGGAGGTGGTGGAGGGGTAACAGGGCAGGCCCACGGTGGCCCTGGAGATGCTGGAGATGGGGCGGTAGTGCGCGATGCTCTGGTAGGTGCTGTCCCTGGCGTACAAGGGGCGTTCCCTGTGACAAGAGAGCGAGCAGGCAAGTAGGCCCAGAGAGCCGGTAGCCAGAACCAGCCCTCATCCCTAGCCCTCCCTACTGAGCACTCTCAACCACTTACCTGTCCTTGCTCTCCTCTTCGGAAGAAGTGAAAAGATCATCCTCGCGCGTCTAGAGGAGACAAGAGAAGGAGACTGGCTGCAAGGTTGGCAGGACCCTGTCACCCAAGTTCAAACTTGCCCGGCCAGCCCACTCTGCTCCCTCCAGACCCTTTCTAGACTCCTGGTCTTTTGTCTAGGGAGCTTTGCCACTTGCTCAGTGACTGTCCTGGCTGTCTTTGAGCCCCAGCACCCTCCCCTTCCTCCCCCAAGCCTCTTAGAGCTCCAACCTAGATCCCAGGCCAGGGTGCACCTTGGACTGAAGTGTGCTCCAGTCAAACAGTTCTGGGGTCGTCTTGCACTGTGGAGCCTACTTTTCCCTGGAGGCCTGTGAGCCCCTGGGAACCTGCAAGGAGCCACCGCTTCCACCCAGCAGTCCGAACCAGATGACCAAACCCAGGTCTCGTCACTTCAGTTTCTATCTGCACCAGAGGTACCTGGGGTGCCTGACAGCCAACTCACCTGATGGCCAAAAGTCTCAGTATTTGAGAGTGAAGCCACGGGCTCCCGAAAGTTCCTGGATGCGCCCACGGACTCAGGCTCCCCGGAAGTCCTGGTGTGCAAATAGCTCTCCTCGTAGTCGTCATTAGAGCCTTGGGGAGAGGAGTGCAGCGGAGGCAGAGCTGGGAACCGTCTCCCCCAACCTGACCCCCATTCCGTGTCTCTGACAACCGTTTCTCTCCTCTAGGGCTGGTGAGGGGCGGTGGGGGTCGAGGTCTCAGGCTCTCCCCGAAACCAGGCTCCATGACAGAGAAGTTAGGTGGCGGCCCGCCCCTCCTCTACCTGCCTTACCCTTGCTTTGGTAAAATAAGGCATCCTCTTTCTTGGGCAGATCGTACTTATCCGAATCCGAAGATGTTGAATCGAAATCTGTGCGATCGAGAGAGAGAAACGGGACCATTTGCCCTCGGACCTCCCCTCCCTCCCGCCAGGTGCCTCCCGGTCGGTCCCACGGCCACACCCTCGCGAGCCGGTCCGCCCCGCTGCCACACCCTCGCGAGCCCGTCCGCCCCGCTGCCACACCCTCGCGAGCCGGGCCGCCCCCCTGCCACACCCTCGCGAGCCGGGCCGCCCCCCTCCCACACCCTCGCGAGCCCGTCCGCCCCGCTGCCACACCCTCGCGAGCCGGGCCGCCCCCCTCCCACACCCTCGCGAGCCGGGCCGCCCTGGTCTCCGGTAGTGGACCGCCGGGGGCCTCACCCGAGAACCTATAGGAGAACGAGGAGGCGGACGAGTTCGAGGGCGAGAGTCTCCGCCTCTGGGTCTCATACTCGAAGATCTTCTTCTCGTAGAGCTTGCGAGTGGAGCCTGGCCAAACACAGGGCGCGGGGCGGATCAGGGCCGCGAGGCCGCGGACGGAGGGAGGCCGCCCGCCCGCCACCCGCGCCGCTCCCCCTCGTACCCACGACGGGCCCGTGCGGGATGTTATACTGGCGCAGCATCGCGACGAGCTCCGCGTCCGACAGAACCGTGTAGTCTTCCATGGCGCGGCCGGCACCGGGACCGCGCGGCGGCGAAGGCCTTGGGGCAGGCCGGCCTGGCAAAGCCGAGCAACAGCTGCCTCAGAGCGCGGCGGGGGAAGGGGCCGCGCGATCACGTCACGGCCTCCGGCACCGCGGGCGCTGGGCAAGCGCGCGCGGCGCCGAGAAGACGCCGCCGGAGCGCAGCCGGCGCAGACCGGTCTGTACGTGGGAGCTAAGCGGCGCGGGGCGGGGCTGGTGAACCAAGAGGCCACAAACGGGTGCGATTGGGCCAGAGGCAGGGGAGGGGCGGGGCCTGCACGTCAGTCAAAGCGGCAGAACGCGGCGGAACTTGGGAGCAGAGCGGGGCGGGACTGGTGAGCAATGACGCCACAAAGGAGCGGGATAGGGCTAGAGGCGGGAGAGGGGCGGAGCCTGCTCGCCTGCCGAAGCGGCTCAGAGTTGTCTGCGCGCCCGGGAAAGGGGCGGGGCTGCCGAGCAAAGACGTCATACGGGGGCGTGTTTGGGCTATGCGTAGGGAGGGGCGGGGCCTGTGAGCAAGCCTAACGGGCGGAAACCGGCCGGGCGGTAGGAGTGGGGCGGGGCTAGCGAGCGACCACGTCATATGCTAGCAAGTTTGGTGTCGGTCTAGACGTGAGAGAAGGACGGAGCCTGTGCACAAGCCGACCAGGTGGACACCGCCCAGGGCCTGGGAACGGGGTGGGCTGAGCGCCCAGGGAGGGGCGGGGTTGGCGAACAGAGACGTCACGCGCGGGCTTGCTCTGATTAAGAGGGGCGAGCCCTGCGCGCAAGCGGAACCGGCGGAAACCGGCCGGGAGGTGAGAGCGGTGCAGGGCCGGCGCGTGCGGGAAGAGGTGCGCGCTCCCGGAGTCACGTGGGGCCGAGGCGCCTGGATCCCGCGCCGAGATCCCTGCATCCCTCCCCGGCTTCAGGGTCTGGATGCCCAGTAAAAGGCCGAGTTCCCCGAGCAGACACTTCAGCAGCGCTTTCCCCGGGACCAGGCTCTCTTCCAAGCTCTCTGCGTGGAGAACGCGAGGGAACGACGGCTGCGCGGGGGCCCAGCCTGCAGGCCGGCCACCTCCCAGGCCCCTGTCCCCGGCCAGCCTGGCGAGTCTGCAGGCCCCTCGCCTCCGCACCTGTGCCGCCTGCTGCCCACCGCCCCCTCCCTGCCTACCTGGGGAGGAAAGGGGGCCCTAGGCCAGGAGGGCAGCGGCAGGCGCTCCCAGCCAGCCCTCTAAGGGGCCAGGTGTGCCAGTGATCACTGGCATAGGACAAGGCGTGATGCGAGTGGGGCGGGAGGGAGCCAGCCCGCCGCACCACATCACCCACCTGGGGGACCGGGCGGGGAGGAGGGGGAGGCTTGCTCTCATGCTGGAATGGCCCCTGAGCTGAGTGCCATCCGGGAGGGGTGGGGGGTAGCCTTCCAGAACCAGAGGGGTCTGCTGGGGGAGGGGGCCTCAAAGAAGACTTGGCAGGCTGTGGGCACTGTGGCACTGCAGGGGTGGCCAAAGGAGAGGGAGGCCAGGGGGAAGTGGGGCCAAGGGGGGCAAACTGGGGCAGGCAGTGGATGTAAGGTGGAGTGTGCGGAGGAGGAGTCAAGGCCTTGGTAGGAAAAGTGCTGTCTCCTGGAGAGCGGGAAGGAGGTGACAGTCATGTTCAAACAAAGCCAGCCTCGTGGAGTGTGGGGCCCACTGGGGGGCCCTCCCTGGAGTGGGTGAGGGAGGCCAGCCCGAGTCTCATAGAGAGGGGGAGAAAAAAGGAGAGCGGGCTCTGGTCAGCTGTGCTGGCCCCAGACCAGTTCTCTAGGGAGGTTTGCTGGGATGGGGAAGAGGTACACACGTGGGGAGTGGCCAGAGGAGAAAGGCCCTGGGTTGACCAAAGGCAAAGACCCTTCCAAAGAGTTGCTGTTGCCCGGTGTTTGAATGGAGGTGCTGCTCTGCTGTGTCTCCCGCAATGTGACAAGAGCTCTGGGCTGGGCAGGAGAGGACGTGGCCATTTGGGCTGTGGGCTGGGCAGAGGCCACCTCATGGAATCTTGAGTTTTGGCAAGATCAGATCCCAGCCCCTCTCAGCCTGTCTGCAATGCTGGCCCCTCTCCCGGAGGCGCTGGTTCTGGCTTCCCTTACAGCCCGCTCAGTCCTCCCCCATGCCACCCCTCCCCATACTGATGCAAGCTGTTTTCCTTATGAGGTCAAGGAATTCTAGGTTTGCCTTCTCCCCAGGGAAGGCCCCCCCCCAGCACCTGCCTCAGCACTCTGCCTTGTATGCCCCCCCCCTTTGCCCCCAGTATAAGGTCCCACCACAGAGGACTCCAGGAAGCTGAACTGTGGATGGTCACCCTGCGCCCACCCAGTGGGCACCTGGAGGCTAAGTCCAGCCCTGTGGCCATGCAGCTCCATCCCAGAGCACCGGACCCTAGGTCAGCCCTTAACCATCCAAGCTAGGATGTCCTCTGCACCTCTGTCCCATAGAGGAGGGAGCGGGGGCCTCGAGTCTGGTGGTTCATTCATGAAACGTTTCCTCAGCCACCATCTAGTACTCCATAGCCCAGCCTCAGAGCTCCCAAGGAGGGGGAACTCGGGGGGCCTCCAGGAGCTGTTCCTGGGAAGGGCGGGCAGAGAAGACGCTGGAACTGAGCCTTGAAAAAGAGGACAAATTTCTCTGGTGGACGATTGGAAAGGAGATTGCAGGCAGAGCTAGCAAAAAACAGCCAGCGCGGTGAGGGTAGTGGGCTATGGAAGGAGCCGATTGTAAGGCAAGAGTAAGAAAAAGGAGTTTCTCCTTTAAGGATGGGGAATGGCTTCTAAGCAGTGCATTGTACAACTTGCAATCCCAGCAAGATCAGATGTTAAAACGGAAAAAAAAAATACCACCATAAATACATTTCTCAGCATCCATATGCAAGGAAACCATTGTTCATTGAGCTACTGAGGTTTTCTTTAAGATGAGGTTTTTTTTTTTAATGTTAAAAGACATGATACTTAACTTTTCAAGAATATTAAAGATCTTTGGGTTTTAACTGGTTTTCAAACGTTTTGAAACATTGCTCCAATGGTTACGAAGGTTGTAAGACAATTATTGTGGAAATTGATGTGTTGAACATTGTCACAATCAATATTAAAACATTGATTGGTTAGGTGACCAAAGGTGTCTGAAGGAAAGTGTGTTCCAACCCTGGAACACATCAGTTCATCGTGATACCGCTGGGATGACTGGTTGCAGGAATGCAGTTGATTCTGGTAGTTTCCCTAAATCTTCAACCCAAACAAGGAGGAAAAAAAAAGTCTTTATTATGATCTTCACCAGGAACAGCTGGTGCTGTACAAACCTTCATTCCACCCAGACCTGGAAGAAGAGACAGAGCTGCTGCTGCGTGTGTTGTGTGTGTGTGTGTGTGTGTGTGGTGTGTGTGTGTGTGGTGTGTGTGTGGTGTGTGTGTGGTGTGTGTGGGTGTGTGTGTGGTGTGTGTGTGTGGTGTGTGTGT